TAAAGATTGTGGTAGACTCCGGCGTTGTTCGTGTGTCAAAGTTGGAGACCGGACGCTTGAACGGTTACGTTTGCACTTTCAACGCTCTTCCTACGACTTCTTCGTTTTTACCGCTTACGGAGAAAGGTACAAATTTCTTACTACTATAAGTTTTAGTACGTGATTCTGGGCAAGATAATCATGTTAGGATGTTAAAATTTTTATATTCCGCTGCCTACCCTTGCATGGTTACCTTTCAATTGCATCATACCAGTTAGGATCTTTGAGTGCACTACGGTAGGTGGGGGGAAGTGGGGAGATGTGAGCTGTGGTGTTTAGGTTTAGGACTGATTTTGGGCAAAAGATACCAGATTTGGCACGAGTGGTCATTAGGTGAGTGTTCATAGGAGGGTTGGGTTGAGTGTGTGCAGTGGATTGGGCTGTGGGTTGCTGTTGGTGTTGGACCGAAGCGGAAGAGAGGGTGGAAGGGGAGGAATGAGTATTGGATGTAGCCGGTTGAGAGGAGGGAGATTGGGCTGTGGTGGGCTGGTGAGTAAGAGGGGTAGTGGTTGTTTGGTCCGTGTGTTGGTTAGGAACGTGAGGCTGAGGCGGGGTGGTGTAGGATTCGTGGTGGAGGTGGTGTAGATTTGTATCCTCCATGGAATCAAGGAAGAGAAGGTCCGTTGGTGATGTGGCATGATTGAAAGGGAAGGTAGATTCATCAAAAATGACGTGACGTGAGATAATGATTTTGTGAGTGGTTAGGTCTAGACACCGAAAACCACGTTGATTTGATGGGTAGCCAAGAAAGATGCAACGAGTTGATCTGGGGGATAATTTGTGGAGGGCGATTGCGGAGGTGTTTGGATAGCAAAGGCATCCAAATACACGCAGGTGTGAATAGGAAGGTGGCGTATGAAAAAGTACCTCGTAGGGAGTTCGTTTTTGGAGAGTGGTGGTGGGGAGAAGGTTAAACAGATGACAAGCCATATGAAGGAGTTTGACCCAATATTCAGGGGGTAATTGGGCTTGGAAGAGGAGGGTGCGAATGGTGTTGTTAATGGTTCTGATGGTATGCTCGGCGCGTCCGTTTTGTTGGCTTGTGTGAGGACAAGAGAAGTGGAAAATGATGCCTAACGAGTTAAAAATGTTCTGAAGTGGGGTATTATGGTATTCTGTTCCATTGTCACATTGTACAGCTTTGATGGTTGTGTTAAATTGATTTTGTACATAGGCCAAAAAAGTTTTGAGATGGGAGAACGCATCAGATTTGTGACGAAGAGGAAAAACCCATAAATAGTGAGAAAAATCATCTATCAAAAGCATATAGAATTTAAAACCAGTAATGCTAGGAACAGGCGACTGCCATAAATCAGTACGCATTAATTGAAAGGGAAAAACTGAAGTTCGAGTAGAGGAAGTAAAAGGAAGACGAACATGCTTCCCTAACTGACAAGCATGACATAAAGAATCTTTAAAATGTTTATTATGATTGAAAGAAGACAAAAGAGGAATTCCATGAAGGACGGCCGAGCTGGGATGACCACGACGACGATGCCATGTTTGTGGATCAACGGAGGCAGCGGGACTTGGACGTCGGGGTTGTGGGGGCGCAACGGATAAAGTGGGCCGTCATTATTGGAGCGATGAATCACGACTCCCGTCCGAAGATCCTTCACAGAAAAACCGGTTGAGTCAAATTCAATGGTACAATTGTTATCACGAGTAAATTGTCGAACAGAAATAAGATTATGAATAATGTGAGTAGAGACAAGAACATTGTTAAGGGATAAGGGTGGGGAGGTGGCAAGGGTATGTGTACCAACTGCCGTAGCCCGCACTTTAGATCTATTACCTATAGTGATGAAAGGTGGTGAATTTAAAGATTGAGAATAAACATGAGAAAGAGTACCTGGGTTGGAGGCAATGTGGTGGGAAGCACCGGTGTCCATGAACCATGTAGGTTCGCGGAGGGTCATTGTATCAAATTAGTGGGTTAAAGCTGTAGGGGTGGGGGTTTGAGGGGTGGGTGGGTAGGACCCGCAGGGGGCTGGGTAACCAGGCTGGGTGGTGGGGTAAATGGGCTGGGGGTGTGATTGGGCCGGCTGGGGCATATGGATATGGGCTGGGGTAGTTTGTGTAGGAGGGTTGGGTAAAATAAGCACGGGCCGGGTATTGGGCTTGGGTTGGGCGGGGGCCCAAAAGGCCTGGATTGGGGTTGTAATAGGGGATCTGCCATGGATGTTGCTGTCCGGGTGCCTGTCGAGGGTTTCCGCCAAAGTTCCGACCCCGACCGCGTCCTCTAGCCGGTCGTCCACCACGACCGCCATAGGCCTGCCCGCGCCCGCTGTTCGCCTGGAGCTGTCCACCGCCGGTGTCTCCGATGCTGGATTGCTGCCCGCCGCCACCGCTGTGACCCTGTACGCGACCCGCGGCTCCGCCGTGAGTGGTCGCTGCTAGTGCCGGACCTCCATCACCAGTAGAAGCGAGAGGGCGGCGGTTGCGTTCCAAAAGAACCAGGGCTGACCTCGTTTCCATGAATGTTGGCGGCGGCTTTTGAAACTGAAGGAAAGAGGCTTGATTGCTGAGATCGTCGGGGAGGCCGCGAAGAACTTGGAGTACGAGTTGATTCTCTGTAACAGGGGCGTCCACGTTGTCTAACCAGTCGACTATGTTCCGAAGGTTTTGACAATATGTGGCGATGGTGGACGTCACTTTGACGGTGCTGTAGAACTGATGTTCCAACTGCATCGCTCGAGCGGCTTTGTTATCGTGAAACAGGTTGTAAACGGCCGTCCAGAGATCTACAGCAGACTTGGTGGATGAGAGGATGAGATCGGATACCTCGTCGTTGACGGTGGAGAGAATCCATCCTTGGATGAGAGCATCAAGTTGAAGCCACTCAATATCGTCTTTGTCGGTGGAGGTTTTCTCACCGGTAAGAAACCCCTCAAGATTGAAGCGTCTAACCAAAAGAAGAAAGAGACGGCTCCACTTCTTGTAATTTGGTTCCGAAAAACTGAGAGTAATGGGAACCTGAAGCTTGACATTGGAGACCGTCGTAAAAGCGAGATGGGGGGGTATTTGCAGCGGGAGAAGGGGTGGAATTTTCTGAAGACATGGTGACGGGAGGAGGGGGAGTGGGCGAGCTGGAGAGAGAGAGAGAGAGAAAGGGCCGGCGATTGAGTCACCGAGGGTGGGGAGGTTCACGGCAGCGAGGAGAGAGAGGCACGCCGAGGGAAGACAAATAAGAGATGGTTCGGGAATAGCCCAGAGTTGGCTCCGATACCATGAAGAATTATGTATTTCGATAATCGTTACAAATGATCCGCCTCCCCTTATATACATAAAGGAGGGGTATGAATAAGGAAACAACAATAATGGTAAATCATATACAACTGAGAACTACTATAAATATATAATAATATATTAAATATGTGATATTGACTTTACATATTTAACACACACACACAGAAATATATATATATATTATATAAAGGGGAAAAGATAAGGAATCCAAGAGAGGGGTGGCCAACCCAACACACCGGTCTACAAAACAAACAACTAAAACAAAAACCCAGTACAGCATAGTTACTTTACAAAACAAGCCAAGCAGCCTGTCATCTGTCCAAGGAAACCCGCCAAGCAGTCTGTCAAAACCTTTCAACTGTCCTAAGCAGTAATACCAATCCTGCATATTGCTTTCCCAGGAGAGCAAAGTGGAAGAGTCTCATATAACCCAAAGTGATGATAGTAACATCCGGCCAGGTAACATGATTTTACCTTGACTCCTAAAAGCAGAGTGAAACGATAAATCTGTGAAATAGGCGCTGCTCTTAAACAAACAACCAATCTGTGTCAAGGCATATAGAGAACCCAACATCAGTTCCAACTCCCTTGAGGCAGAATACCAAAACAGCACGAGAACTACTCAGGTAAAGAGTAGCTTCCCGTCTAGCAAAGAACCATCAATCCACAAGACCCATAAGGAAAATGTTGCTGCAACTCCAAATCCCTAGCTAAAGACCCAAATGAGCAAACAAGGACAGAGAAGAAAGAACCCATCAACCCTTACAAAACAACCATTCAAAGGGGCCAATAAGAAATCTAGGACGCTACCAAAATCTGAACTCAGCCAGTCCTGAGCTTGGTCCACGGCAACAGCGTGTTTAGAAGTGCTGTAAAAATTCTCCACAGCAGGATTGTATAACTCTAGAGTCCTCATTAGAATAGATTAAGTAGACCGGGTTTTTAGTACCCCTTATCTTGACGTAATCTACAGCCTCGATGCTCCTAGTCACTTGCCTTGTCATCCTGAATGCCTTACCTTTACCATTCTTCAAAATACCCTTCTGCAGCTTATCACGTACCATTGCAATTGTCATTGCCTCCCTTAAATAACAGGATGACTCCTCGAACATTGATTCAAAATGTTCTGTGAACAAGGGCTCTAGAATCTTGAATTCCTCATCGTAATCTCCCTTGCAGCATATGTCAATACTGTTTTCGTTGAGGCAAAAATCATTAATGTCCGAATGGAAAAGGAGACCTGGGATAGTAGATTCCTTCTGGACAGGCTGTTGAACGAGATCATCAATTATTGGGTCTTTCCAATCTGGTTTGGGGCTTGGGGGTCCTGTGAGAATCGCAGCCATTTCACCTCCTTGAATCTCCTCACTAGGTGCTGAAGTATGAGAAGGGGGAATCACATCATTTCTATCAAGAAGGGACCTAGATAGTGCCTTGATAAAGAATTTTAAACCAAGCTTTCTAGCACCGAAAGGGACACAAATAGTGGATCTGATTTTCTCAAAAACAGAAGTAATCTTCACAAACTCCCCAAACGAGTTTGATCCCCAATTAATATTCACTGAGTTTTCCCCTTCAAATCGAAAGAGTATCCAATTAGCTGTAGTCATAACGTGATGTTCCAGAGATTCAAGCACCCAAAGAGCCAAAGTGGTGGAAACAGAAATGGTACGAAAATAACCTTTCTTCATCTCTGATATATGAAACGAACCTGAGTGGTGGAAATCATACCTTTTACTTTCAATATGGATGGAGAGCTTGCCATTAGATAAGGAGAATGGACCTGAATATGGAAGGAGTTTCCCAGCTTTCTCTGGATTGTAACCTCTAGATTGAGGTTTTTTAATCCTCCGAAGAAAGTAGGCTTCATCGGGGAGGCCCAATCTGTTTTGACCTCTGGATGAACTCGGTTGGAAGGTAACCCCTCGCTGATTTTTGTAAACCCCTTTCTGAAAATGCCGCTGCGATTGAAGTAACCTTGCACTATCTGATAATTGGCGGCCATAATCGATGGCAGAAAACCTTTCCCAAGGTTTAGATCGGAAACCTTTCCCTGTAAATCGAAATTCACGGGGGCGGCGTGAATCGCCCAGCTCGAGCGGAGACCTATCCATCATTATATTATATATTATTCTTCCATTTGACTTTTTAGGGTCTCCTAAATTGCATTTTGACCACTAATATCTTTATTTATACATAGATATATTTTATAAAAATTTGATATTTGAAAACTATATTTCAAAATGAATATATTTATATTAAAGTTATATCGTAATACAATGTATTTTTTCCATATATCATAGTCAAAGTTTACAAACTTTGACCAAGAAAAGTCAAATGGGAAGAATATTTTCGGACGGAGGGAGTATATAAAGTTGGGTTAATCAATTATGGGGCTACCAAGTGTACTACACGTAGGATCCATGTGTGTAGGTTGTAATTGCCAGATCAGTTTTTTTTCAGTTTCTTGCCTTTTCCGTTTCCAGTTTCCACCCTTTCACTACTCCTGTCCAAATCCCCAAACGCCCTTCCCTCTCCTTCACTTGCTTTTCAGCCGAGTTTTCTTATTCTATGTTAGAGATGAAATTGAGTTGCCATAGCGGTGGTGCGATCAGGCTTCGGTCAGCGGGTCTCTATCTTGCCTCGATAACTCATCGGCTTTAGACAACTCTCCACCCCCTCCAGCAGCGACGGTTACGGTGGCGGTGGTGGAGTTGGATGGGCCAAGTTGGAGAAATGGAGCCAAAGATTCCATTTTTGCGCTCAATTCTTCAACTTTTTTAAAGAGGGAGATAGAGAAACAAATTTAATATCTGGTGGTTCATTAAACGTTAGTGGAGCAATGGCAGTAGCTCACTGAGGGGATTTCAGGGACGTGCCTATCCCCCTCCCCCTCCCCCTCTTTTTTATCAGGTATGGCACACCAGCTGTTTGATTGTTTGTTTGTCCATAATATTGCCCTATAGTTTAACTTCCATTTCTTGTGGTTTGGTTTTGCGTTTCAAGTGTGAACCTTTGATTGCGATTGGAATGAGTTTTTGTTAATAAACTCATGAGAGCACCATCGTTGGCTCATTGCATACATCCCCTCGCATTGATTCTTTCTCTCAGGTCTGAGTGTGTGAATGGATGTTTTCAAATGTAGGAGTCATGCCAGGAATTCTTGAGTCTTTTGGGATATTCACTACAGGTACATAGAATATATGTTATCAGTGTGATAGTATTGATTGGGTTTTTCATTGTGTGATGATGTTCTTTGCAATTCATTTGCTATCACTTTCATAAGCATTTTTTTGAAGGATGCATTTAGAAAGTTTTATGTGGATAAACAACAAATGGGGTCTAATTTTGTTTCCAGTTTTATGTGGATACGGAGTATATCTCAATTTGGACATCCTAATTTGTATGAAAATAACACTTTTGTTAGCACTCCGGGAAAACTCGATAAACATTTGAGGGTTTAAGGGAGAGTGACATACAACAAGCATGTGGTAATGGATTTCGTTCCACACTTATATAAGTTAGTACGATTTTAACATTGGAGAGTTGACTATTTGAGACACCTTACAACTCTCTACTAGATATCAGTGTATTCTCTCTTTCGATGGTGAATTTTAATATACAGTATACTTCTTTTAATAATAAACACTTCTTTTTTTAGGAGTGTATTTATAATACTCCACTAGGTTTCTGTTTTTTGGTGAACTTTTAGCACAGCGTGAAGTATAGGTTATGGCCGAGGGAAAACCCACACCTAACAGCACGAGCAGCATCAATTGGGTGATGTATGGGAATCTTTAATAGCATATCTACGAAGTGCATCACTTTGGTGTTTTTGATCTGAAATGTTTTTTGTTTTATCCATTATTAAGTTACCTGTTGACTTAATTTTTTGACTTTTAGAAAGTGTTCCGAATTCTTTTGCGGTTTGTGACAATTAAAAATCAACCAATGAAGGCTTACAATTCGGAAGCTAAAAAGAGCTTCTCGACAACATCCTTACCAAGGTGAATCTCATTTCTTGACTCTTAAAATGTGTTTGAATTGTTGAGAAAATAGTTTTAAAAAATCAAGCAAAAAAAATCTTGAGGGGTCTTGCTCTAGAGTAGCACTTGAGCGCAAAAGTGGACACAATATAGATTTAATCTCTAACAGAATTTTAGTTCGGAGCTTAAACTTTTTAATAAAGAACTGCCCATTAAGATATTTTTTCACTGCGATTACGGAGTAAATGATAGTCTGAACACAACCAAATCTATTTAATATTTCTTATCAATGATAGTTTTAACACACATCCAATCTTATTATTGTTGCCTCACATTTAAAATGATCTTTCTGCTCAAATGTGTTGATTTCTCATATTGTAGACTAAAATTTTAACAACTGGACCTAAGTGTTATATATACACAGTGGATTTTTATTCAACTATTGATATAAGGGCTAGGATACCAGGTATGGATTATTGAGTACTTTTAAAATAATATATATGTGTTTGTGTGTGTGTGTATATATATATCTGTGTGTGTGTGTTAAAATTTTTAACACAATATACCAGTCCATGCAACTTTTATTTAAGTTGCAGATCCTTTAAATTAGTGGCCTGCCTTAGAAATGTCTTGGCAAATGAAGAAATACTTGATGGAGTAAGTGAACCTGGAGAACATTCTTTCATTAGAATGGTATGCTTTAGATATACATGGTCAGTTTTGTGTCTTTATCTTCTTGAGTTGAATTTTTTCTTATTAATTTTTATTCTATTTTGTTCTTATTTTAAAATGTTGTTTATGGTGATAGCCGTACTGAGGTCTAGAACAAAAACATAAATAGCAATCACTCTGAGAAGTAGATGAGATACAAATGCTCAAAGAGGCCACTGGAGCTAATTTCAATGTTAAAATAGACTTTCAACGACAGTAAGCCGAGCTTCTGCATCTCGACCAAGAACTTATCCACATCAAAGCATGCTCTTAAGGAGCTGCCCGTAACCATAAAAAATGAGGTACATAACCCCAACCCCCTTATATAGCCTAAATTAATACAATGCATGTTATTCCTTTTATGGTTTGTGTATTACATGTACTAATTTACTTCCACCATGGCACCATGAACGTTTTAGCTTTGTAGAGCTATATATGTTACTCTACAGCCATCTACTGTGGATACATACCCCACAACAAGATTTTGAAAAAAAGCATCTTGACTTATTTTAGCAGATTTCACACCTGTTTCAACATAACCAAATGATTACAAAGTGCACTATGTGGTATATCACAAAAGATGGATGGAGATTTTATGGTGTGTGATTAAGTAATGACTGTTCGTTTATAAGTTTCCCTAAGATATTGCAGCCCATTTGTTCAAGTGCATAGCTATTAAGAATGTTATATATGATAACTTACGACAAATTGAGGTGAGAAAATGATTGTAAATAAAAAAAGATCGCCTTGACACATTTACGGCATCATGGTGATGGTATGCACTTGCATCCTCTTGAAATGTGTATCCTTATTGTGACATTAGGGTGTTTTCGTATTGTCTTTTCAAGTATAAGGTTCATGAGTTGCGAGGTACACTAGCCTTGTCAGAGTTAAGCCGAATGACATTAAATCCCTGCAGCAATTCTTCTATGATGTCAAATTGCATTATTTTTTTAACAATGAATTTTCACCATTAAGATTAATATAATTGTCTCTTTGAGATGTTGCCATACGATGCAAAAAAAATTTCATGCAGAAATACATAACATTAACAACAATCATGGATGGTAAGTGATGTCATACCAAGGTAGGTTCTATTGTCATGAATTGCAAGAGGTTAATTAAGGCAAACAATGAAAAGTTTTGGAGCCAGAGATGCATGAGAGGGGGTTGCCTATGGTTTCACATATATAAGTTCCATATTCTTTCATAAGTTTACTCCTCTTCCATTAAAAATGAGATTTCTTCTTCTAACTTTACACATTTCTAGCATCTTCTTATGGTGTATCATCACATATAAGCTGCTTCTGATCTTAATTTTCATTTCACTATGATAGGAGATGATTAAATTGATAGCAGGTTTCAAAGATTGTTGATATAGGCTGCTTGGTCCCCTGATTCTGGTCTTGAGTTTAATAGGAGCATATTCTTGGGAGATTTTGCACTGGGAACTAGTTTTTCGTGCTATTTTGGGAGCACATATGTAGTATTTGGCAGTTTTTTCGCACAATTAATATCCAGGACATCTTTTCTGGCTGGAATTACCCAAGGCCCAAGGGCAGGAGCCGCCAGCAAGGGAGGTAAACGCTCACGTCTTGGCAAAGATTTAAAGATATAAAACTATCATCAATTTCATGCTTATTGGTTATTGAATAAGTTAAAACTTAAGCACATGATATAATACTCAGTTTCTGTCACTTTGTTGACAAGGAGAGTGGAATAAACAAGACATTACTATCACATGTGCTAGCACATTCCCCGCTGATGAGGTAAATAAGATGATAAAAAAGTTGAAGTATTTGCTCAAGAAGACAAAGAGAAGAGAGTATCTTGAAGTATTTGTAGATCTCATACTATATCATTGTTACCACCTACAGGTGAATCTATTTACTGCTTACTTTTGATTTCCTTACATCACGGGTGCGAGGGTTTTAAAAATATACTGGGTTTGGCGGTAACCCAAATTATGTAAACTATGAACGCTAACAGTTATGACCTTACCTTCTTGATTAACTTGATTATGAGGGACCAAGAAATAAGTTTGAGGCATCTTTGTTCGATTTTGATGTGGATACTCATACTAAATTGCAGATTCACAGAGATAAAGCCAGGATCATACCCATGCAGTAGTTAAGAATGCAAAACAGAGGCAATTGGACACTGGGAAATGGGATTTACAGACTTCTGATTTAAGAAATGAAAGGGAAACTACAGACCAAGATCAAACTAGCAAGGTAATCATAGATCAAAACCTAAAAAAAACTATGCCTTTAAGTTTACTTATTATTAGCTGAAGCTCTATGGTAGCATATAGAGAATTTACGGGGCAGGCATCCACACCAAATAGGAGGGTTATTTTTTGGCTTAAGATATGCGTAGTAGTATTGAATATTGACAAATCCTTCTTGGCTACTTCGTACTCTGTATTATATTTTACTCTAGATGAAACTTAGCTTGATTGTTGCTATCTTATGGGAGAGATACTGTATATTAAATGCACTGTTTTTATTTTTTTCTTAATGCAGGCTTTGTGTTTCATCAACGAGAATGCGTTGTTTTGGTATATTATATTGCTTTCTTTGATGTTTTAAGTAACTGGAAGGCTTCCATGTATGATTTATATTGAAGAATGAAGAGAAATATTATAAAGAGTACTCTATTATAAACTATAATTGAAAGAATGTTAATGCAATAGTTTATACTTTGGCACATGTGATATAAGTGACAAGAAAGGTGATTTAGTTTCTTAATAATCCAGTTCAATTGATTTATTTTAAAATTGTGTGTAAGTGAAATAAGTATTGTTGGTCGTTTTGTTTGCATTATTATACCAAAATAATATTTTTCTAGTTAGATATTAGAACATTTCGGAATGATTTTTGTTTCACTTAACTTTTTCTTCACAGTGGCGCATCTTGATGCAAATGCAATAGTAGGGAAGAAATTAAAGACTTATTTAAATATTAAAAGTTTTCTATGCTTTACATAAAGTATACCTCAACTAACTCTTCGATTAACCACTCACTTAAATGCATAACACTCAAAATCAAAATTCTATATGACAAACAAGTGCATACCTCCCCAGCCCGTGCGAAGCACGAGGTAAAAAACTAGTTAATTTGTATTCATAGGTGATGACGTTCGAGAATAAAGTTTTACTTGAACGATTTAGTGAATGAGTTAGTTTGGTTCTTGTGACGTCATTTCTTCTTTAGTTGGTCAGAATAGAGTTTGTCGATCATTAAGATCATCGATAATGATCCTTAGAGATAATGTAATCACATTTTCAAGGAGAGATTCATTACAATGTTCAAGTAGGGGTACTTGCATCGTTATGATCGACTCACATAGTTCACGGAGTAAAGTTTCTAAAATCAGTATTGCGATGCATCTTTTTTAGTTTAATGGAGAATCGTAAGTTATGACAAATCTTTCAAAGTTCAATGGTTTAGTACAAGCAATGGAATTCAATATTTTCAAGATTGATTAAGTGGATTGTTTCAAGTGTGTAATTAACACGGCAACTTTGAGTATCTCCATGATATGAGTCACAAGATACAAAGATAGCATTTGTAAATTATCGTTACTAATCATAGGTTTTCATCCTTCGATGTTTCACTCTTTGGTAATTGCTCAAAGGGTTGTTATCTTAGGGCATTAGCCATTTTGACTTTTCGTCTCAAAATTTGAACGTGTTTCAGGACAGCAAATTTAATTGCTCATGAGTCTCAATACGTCATATCATCAGCAGGCTGCAGTATTGGCGAGTACATTCTCGTCTGTAGGTAAATCAAATCCATTTTACTGTACGTATTTTGGCTAGTGATAATTACCTTTCCATCAATGGTCAAGTTTTAGAGGCTATATATATCATGATTGTGGCAAGAATATCTCACATTCTCACATTATGGACGGAACTTCTCGAGCTCTCTCTTACACCATAAAATTCGTTGGACTACTTGGTAGTCATGCTCTTGGTAGAAATCCAAAGTTCATGGCTACGGAGGTAAATTTAGGAAGAGAGTTGATAAGGAAAAAAATTAGACTTACCTATGGAGGAGGCAACGTTGGCCTTCAAGGAGCCGTTGCTTCAACAGTCTATACCAATGGTGGTATAATTAGAGGCTTCATACCAGGGTACTTAGCAACACGACAGGTCTACGGACCTGCGTACGGTTTAGAATACACGGTTTACAGCAATTACTATAAGTACTTTGAGATGAATCATATTGTGGAGGCTTACATTGTACTTCCTGGAGGAGTGGACACTATGTAAGGTTTGTTCACCTTAATCTCGTGGGCATCTGAAGGGTTGCATAGCAAACCCATTGGTCTCTTAAATATTGACGGTTATTTTAATAACCTAATCAAATTTCTAGATGATGCGGTGAATCAGAACTTCATGGCTTCCAGCCAGAGGAAACTTTTCATTTCTTCTTTCTTTATTGATGAGCTTTTCGACAAACTAGAGTTTGCTAAAGCTTTCTCGGGTCCCGGGGCTAGTTATGACGAGTTTGCAAATCCTAGGAGATTATACTTGGAATTGCATCTATAACATTCCTCATATGATCCAAGTTGTATTTTGTGTTGAAATGATATTATCCATAAATATTATTCTAGGCTGTATGGCAAGTGCAAGCTACATTTTCTTCATTGTTCAGTATTTCACTGTTGTGGTCACTGTTTCACGTCTTGTTTTATATCATCACTACGTCGTGATCTTTCATGTCAATAGCATATATAAACGAGTCAATTTTCTTAAATGTTTTCGACGATAAGCAATTAAGTCATTAGTTGCTTCATAACAAGGCATCAATTCAATCAACAAAGTTGAGCTGTCAAGCAAGTTTGAGTTTAACCAAACAAGTTGTCACTTTATAGTAAAGGGTAGCGATTCTTGATCATTAGTTTATTCAAGTTTCTTAATAGGGATTGGTTAGTATCATGACCGTAAGTCAATCTTAGAGAACAAAATGGATCCTATAAGATGATCAAATAAGTCATGATACGAGGTAAAGGATAATGATCTATTTAATTGACGATAGTTGATACATAGTCTTGTCGATCCTTCTATATTTTCATATGAACAAAATAGGTATTCAAAGAGAAAACACTTGATTAGATGATTCTTTGGTACAAAATCCTTGAGTTTTCAATCTCAACGGAGAGTTATTGAATATGGAATTCACATAGATATAAGATAGTGCAAATCATGGATCAATACATGCATAATTTTATCGAATAAGGAAACATATTAAGGGGCTGTTTGGCAACTTCTGAATCGGTAAGTGCTGAACCAGTAAGAGGTCTGAACCACTAAGTGCTGAACCAGTAAGAGGTCTGAACCATTAACAGCTAGTATATTGCTTAACTATTCAGAGTCAAATGTCTGATCAATTCATATAAGAGGTCTTAACCATTCAGACTCTGTATAATACTTAACCATTCAGAGGCAAATCTTTTAACCATTCAGACATCTGAACCATTAAGAGGCTGAAACAAACAGTCTGAACCATTAAGTGTTGAACCATTCAGACATCTGAATCATTAAGAGGCTGAAACAAACAACCCCTAAAGATGACATAAGGATGTTCATCAACGCGATCTTTCACGGCATAGGCACGTGCATGAGTTCGTTTGTGGATTATTTCCTGCTGGTGTAAGTCGGGCTGATGTAGACTGACTTTCAACATGGGTCACCGGGATCGGTTTTCCAAGGGTTTATAGGACATTCCTTTCAAAAATGTCCAGGCTTTCCACAGCTGAGACATAATCCTTGTACCATCCGGCATTCTCCTGGGTGGTGTCTTCTACAAGTGTTACACTTCGGATGCTTCCACACCCTCAATTTGTGTTGAGTTGTGATAGGTGTGTCGTAGCACCTACAAATTAATTGATTATTTCCTTAACTTTTAACCCTCTTTATGATTCAATATTCATCCAAACATATAGATAGGGCAAGTAAGGGTCGATCTCATGAGGAAAGATACTTTTTAGACTATGAAAATCAGTTCACTTGCCACTTTTATTGAATAAAAACTAACTAAAATCTAAAAACTAAAACTAAAGGATATGGGGGGTTTGTGAGATAAAATTAAATGATAAAAATGCAAATTAAATAAAGATAAAGATAACAGATAAGAGATGGAACTACATCAGCAACTCGAACTTAGAAGAACACTCAGGGAGAAACAAACACACAAAAACAATCACACAATAAACTTTATAAAAACGTAGACAATAATAATTAAATTAAACCATTTTGAAAATACTTGTAGTTTTTAATAGGAAATAAACTTAACAAATATGATTAACTAATTAATTATGCCTTGATTCTGAAATTAAACTGCTAATTAAACTCAAGGTTAGGCTGAAGAAGAGGTCCACCAACGGTTCTTCCCTATTCTCTCATTCATATTAGCTTATGTTAAGACCAACCTTTACTCTAAACCCTACTAACCTTAGCAACCCAAAGACGAACCCTTAAGTTACTACTAAGAATAGCGCATCAAGATTTGTGGAAAACATCACCATAACAACTTTGCAGTTACACTACGATTATTTAACAAAATCAGTTCGGGAACCTTAATTAGCAAAAACCACTTAGCGAGGTAGTCAAAGCTAATCAAGTGACACTTAGTTTTTAGAAAAGTTCGGCTATTTAAAGCACTTTGGACTTTAAAAGAATATCAATTTAAATTGGATTAGGTTGCGATCCTAAGTTGGTCCAATTTAAGTAAATCTGGTGAATAATAGTTCTCAGAACACCATTTTGAGTTTAGATTTAACAGTAGTGATGGTGTAAATTACCTAACCGGGTAAACTATACTAGCCTGGGTATAGGATCATTTACTTGATTCGATAAGTGAAAGGTAAAAACACGCAAAGTGACCGGGAGGACTGTAGGTGGAATCACCTGTAGCCCAATTGATATTATTAATATAGAAGAATACACGGGAGCTTTTACAAGAGAGTTTAGAGAGAAGGAATTCTGATCCCTTCCTTTGAAGGTTACAGCAGTATTTATGCTAAGCTCAAAGGGGACAAACCGCCGCTTGCCCACGTTGAGGCACGTTCCTGGGTGGTGGGAGGTGATGGCCTTCGTTCTTTAGCTGCTTTGTCGCCTTGTGAGGAAGATTGCTCCCTTGTCGTGTAGCATTTTGGATGGAGTGTTTGAGCCTATCCAACGATTTCCCATTGAACTTGGTCGCTACGATCCAAGCCTCTTTGGACTCTTCTCTGTCGACGCTCTCCGACCCCAAGAATCACACCGGGTAATTTATGAAGGTTAGGTTAACTAAAATTTGGGAAAGGCGATAAAGTGGTTTGACCGGTATACTATCCGAAGTATACCGGTCAACTTTCTGGTCAACCTAGCTTCCCTCTTACTGACGATTGAAGTCTCTCTTTCAAGTAACTACCAACTTGACCGGTCAAACACCTGGTCTTTATTTTCGAACAGTTTTGGGTGGAATACACCCATCATTAAGCCCTCCACTTCTCAGCGATGTAAATATCATGGGTGGGAAGTAAAAGTATGAGAAATGGACCCGAAATTCGGATTTCAGGCCTTTCCCGCTAAATATTTTCAAAATTTTAATTTTGAAAAGTATTAGATCTGACACGTGTCACACGCCAGACGTGGTTTCAGTCCTGCCCGTTCGCCTCCCCAGGTGTGATGATTGCGCCGCCTGGCGCGGCGCGCTCCGCTGAGGCCACGTCGCCCCTCTCATATCCTTCCTCGCCTATATAAAGCCTCTCCTTCCATTCATTTCTTCGTTCTCTCTCGCGTGTCCTTCTGAGTTTCACCGGTCAAGTTCTCTACTCAGCCTCCCAGCCCTCCGAGTCAAGTAAGCTCCCTCTTTTCTTCATTAGCTTTTCCTTCTATTTTTCATTTCCTTTCCCGGTCAATGTTTTCTTTTAATAGTCAAAACATCTCATCCTCAGATGCCTACGCATCTGAGGATTCTACGACCTCCTCTTCATCGACCGAGTATTATTTGTCTGATTTTGAACCCCGGTCGGCTCCGAATCCCTCTGTTCCCGAGCCAGAACCTGTCAATCAAATGCCCGGTCAAGTCTTCGTGGAGAGGGATGAACCGGTTGATGATGAACCGGATCTCTATGACCCAGATAATGAGACGTGGGTACAGTGGGAGGAGAGGTTGGAAGCAGCCGGTTACTCTCCTCTTCTCAGTTTTTACGTTTCTGACATCTACCCCCACGTCTCCAAAATAGCCTTAAACAAAGCCTGTAGGAACCTCCTGGAGGGGTATGTCCTCGAGTATGATGAGAATTGGCCCAATATTATTGAGCCCCACCGGGAGGATAGGATAGGTTTCCATATTACTTCCTTAGAGGGCGGCATTCTTTTTCCTCTTCGCCCCCTACTGGTTGAGGTGTGTCACTGCTTTCGGATTCTTCTTGGGCAGATCACACCTAATGCCCACCGTCTTCTCAACTCCTTTGTAAATATCTGCCACCATCTTCATATCAATCCTTCTTTGTGCCTTTTCCTCTATGTCTTTGAGGTCCGTCCCGGGAAACCAGGTTGCGAAGGTTTCGTCTATTTCAAGGGACGGACTAATCGAAAATTTATCTCTGACCTTCCACAAAGCAACCGGTTGTGGAAGGAAAAAATTGTTTTCATAAAATTTCCCCCTTCTGTCAGTCCTCTGGCCGGCTTGAGGTGGAGCGACAACCTCCTCAAACATGAGTATACTGAACCGGTATCTACTCCGGTGCTTCTTCTGCTGGCCCGCACACCTCTTCTGCGAAGACTGTACCAGTCCAACAGGAAACTGTTGAGATCCACTCTGAGGAGGAAACTCCTCAGACCGGGGAGGCCACCCAAACCGGGAAGACCACGGCGAATCCTCCCCCTAACAAGGGGAAGGGGAAGACCCGGACAAAAAAGGCGGCCACCACCCATCCATCAGCGAAGAGGAAGAGGGGGGAGGACGTCCCGGTCACCCAATTACTGGAAGAGCTCTGGGTGAAAATGGGGCTCAAGCTGAAAGAGGTAACACCTTCCCGGTACAATCTTTTGAATTTGCCATTCGTATATTTGCACTACCCGTATACTTTTGTTTCGCAGATGGGCGAGGTTGGGCATGATGCCCTAGAGCAGCTCGCCGAGGATTCTCCCTCCCGGTCATCTCTGTTGGAGGAGAAGCTGAAGAGGGCCGAGGCCCATAGCCGGAAGCTCCAGGACTAGACGGCCCGCCAGTTCGAGGAGATGGCAAACCTCTCAAGGGTGGCCGGGAAGGCGAACGCAGAGATCCTCTAGCTGAAGGAGGAGAACTCGACGCTTACTTCCTCTGAAGAAAATACCATGGAGGTCTTCAAGTTGCTGTACCGGGAGGAGCATGGAAAAGAAATGATCACTCAAATCGGCTCTTACAGTTTCATGTCTGGTCAGAAAAGAGACCGGGAAGCCACGCATGAGATATTGGCTGAGCGGGATCCAAACTTTAATGCTGAATCATATGGCATGGCCCCCATACCGGATGAAGAGCCTTCTCCCTCATTCCCCCTTGACTGATCTCCCCGTCTGCAACCAGTTATTTTTTTGCAAAACTTTCAGAGTTCTTAATTTCCCCGGGAATGCCCGGTGTACTTGTAAACATTAAACACTTATTTTTGGTATAAATTCCATGTTTTCTTTCCTACCCGGTTACCTCTGCTCTTTTGAATGCACCATGTTTGATATTTTGCTTTTGCCCCTTTGGATGTCTTCGTAAGAATTTTGACCGGTAGAACTTCAGTTTCTTTCTTTGAATATCTTCCTTTGTATGATCAACTTGAATATGAACTTCAGTTTAACCGGTATGTCCCCTCTTTACAGTCTGACCGGTTAACTGATTCGCCTTGAAGAACTTTCGAAGTTCTGTTGTATTAGTACCCAACTGGGGTATTCCTTCTTTTTTTGTGCTTGACCGGTAGGTTGTAGGTGGGGACCCCTGTAACCTAGTAGATTCTTGAAGTACCCTTAACCGATAAGAATACTAGAGATTTAATCATGTCGAATGGTTTCGAACCCTCTCTAAGGTTCAAATACACCCTTCTTCCAAGGCCTCCTCTTCCGGGTGATTAAGTCTTTTAATGGCCCTTTGATTTTTACTATCCCGGGAAGGCCTTTGCTCACCTTCCCGTTCAAGTCTTCCCTGAGAAGGGGGAATTCGAACCGGTCGGAATAGGATGCATCACGGTGGACGATCCCCTTCTCTTTCTTTAATGGGCATCTTTTAGTCCCCAATTAGTTTGACAGTTTCGGCTGATTCCCCGATACCGGTCAAAACCTCATGGGCCCGTGTAAGTACGGTTCGAACCTTCTTCTAGGTCCAGCCTTCTTGCAGGCATACCCTTTATCCGGGGCCCCTCTTCCGGGTTTTGTTTTTTTTAATATTGAGCAAGACCGGTGTAGTAACCAGCGTGCCAGGTCCGGACCTGTGTCTTAGTTGGCTTATCCGAGTGGATTCGATCCACCCGGGAAGCCCTCCTTGGATAGGTTTGACTCATCATTTCTGCTGCTACCAGGTATAGTAATGGAATTCATCATTTGATAATAAGAATAGGCCTTGTCTAGTATTACAATCATTTGTAGAATTTTCTCAGATGATGAGAATTCCAAGTTCTTTCTACCGGTAGACCCTCTAGAGTTTCTAACCGGTAGGTTCCCGGGCGAATAATAGCTCTCACCCGGTATGGGCCTTCCCAATTCTTTGACAGCTTTCCTCCGTCACCCGGTCGGCTAGCTTTCCTTCTTCGCAAGACTTCATCACCAACTTGGAAGTAACGTGGTCCCACTTTGTTGTCGTGGTACTTCTTTACGACTTGTTGGAAAGTGCTCATTTTGATTTCCGCAACCATCCTCCGCTCCTCAACCAAGTTGAGCTCGGTCAGGTGATCTTCTTCATTTTGTTGGGGTTGGTAGTTTGTTTCCCTGAATGTTGGAAACTCTGCTTCGATGGGTAACCTTGCTTCACACCCATAGGTTATGGAGAATGGAGTTTCCCCATGAGCCCTCCTGGGTGTTACCCGAAATGCCCATATGATGTGTGGGGGCTCTTCTAACCACTTATTCCCTGCTTCTCCCAGCCGCTTCTTTAAATCATCCACAATAGTTCGGTTGGCGTTTTCCACTTGGCCATTTCCTTGGGGGTATGCCACCGAAGAACGATTGTGTTTAATCCCGAAGCCCTCCAAGTATTCAGTGAATCTCAGATTTCGGAATTGTGGGCCATTATCGGTGATGAGATTCATGGTAGCTCCGATCCTCGTGATGATGTTCTTTTAAATGAACTTCTTGCATTGCTGCGTTGTAATATTGGCTAATGCTTGGGCTTCAATCCATTTGGTGAAGTAATTGATGGCCACGATTACGAACTTTTTCCTTTCTTGAGTAATTGGAAAAGCTCCAATCATATCAACCCCGAATCTAGAAAATGGGATGACGTTCGAGACGGGGTGATAATAGGTCGCCGATCTACCCAGGTACTTATAGAATACTTGGCAAGTCCAACATTTCTAAACGTACCATTCACAATCCTGGACTATGGTTGGTCAGTAGTACCCCAGCAGTATGATCCGCTGGGATAGGGTGCGTGACATTTGATGGGCCGCACACACACCTTCGTGGACTTCCGCTATTACTCGCTCGGCTTCCCGGTTGGTAAGGCATCACAAGAGTGGTCCCCCGAATGACCTTTTGTATGACATCCCGTCAATAACTTGGAACTGGGGTGCCCTAAACTTCACTTTTCTCACCCGGTCTTCCTGTTCTGGTAAGCTCCAGTCTACCAGGCATTTCAGAAGATCATACATCCAATGGTCGTCTGCTCCTACCGTATTGGAGGTTGACCGGTTAGGTTGTCCCTCGATCGTGGAAACTTCAAGTTTTTCGATGCTAGCATGGTCAAGGATTTCCACCCGGGCAAGTTTGCGTCAATTTGGAGAGAAGATTTGCGTCTGCGTTTTCTGCCCGAGGAATCTGGGCGATCTTGAATTCTGCAAAGCCTTTCAACAAGGCCAGCACCAGATCCTTGTATTGCGCCATTCGTCCCTCCCTTGCCTCCATGTTGCCTGTTACTTGCCCAACAATCAAACTAGAGTCAGATTTAATACTAACCCGGTTGATTTTAAGAGCTTGAGCAAGTCTGAACCCTCTAGCTAGAGATTCATATTCTGCTTCATTGTTCATCAGTCTGAAGTTGAAGACGAGCGCATGGTAGATCTTGAATCCTTCTGGGGTGGTAAACACTATACCACCCTCGTACCCCCTAGGACCAGATGCCCCATCTATGGCCATCTCCCACCATTGCTCGGTAGGTTGACTGACCGGTAGGTCTGGAGTTAGACCGGTCATCTCTACTAGGAAATCTGCAAGGGCTTGTCCTTTGATTGCTGATCTTGGCCGGTACTCGATGTTAAATTGAGTTAACATCATTGCCCATTTCACCATCCTCCCAGAGGATGTTGAATTTCGCAACACTGCACCCAATGGTTGGTCGGTCAAGACTTCGACCGGGTGAGCTTAAAGTATGACGTTAACTTTTTCACGGAGATGAAAAGCGTGTAGACTGTCTTTTCCATCGCCGTATATCTACTTTCCGCTCCATTTAGTGCTTTGCTCACATAATAAATGGGCTTTTGTGCCCCATCATCTCTTATTAAAACGGAGCTTACAGCATTTGGGGAAATTCCTGGGTATATATACAGAGTTTCACCCGGTTCGAGTTTTGACAATACAATATCCGACACTGGGTACTCTAATTCTTCAGACGCCTTCTGGCAGTCTTTATCCCAAGTAAACGTGTTGGCCTTCTTCAAGACTTTGAAGAAAGGCAGGGACCTCTCCGCTGATCGGGAGAGAAATCTGCTGAGGGCTGCCAGGCGCCCGACTAGTTTTTGCACGTCCCTAACTGAGGTAGGGGCTTGCATCTCGGTGATAGCCCGAATTGTTTCTAGGTTGGGCTCTATGCCCCTCTTGGTCACCATGAATCCCAAGAACTTCCCGATACGAACCGCAAAGACGCATTTCTTGGGATTTAACCGGAGGTTATATCTTGCCATAATATCGAATGTCGCACGCATGTCAGCCGGGTGGTTGAGAGATACCTGGCTTTTGATCAGCATGTCGTCGACGTATGCCTCCATGGTCTTCCCAGGCAGTGGCTTGAAAAGCTTGTTTACCATGCGCTGGTAAGTGGCTCCTGAGTTCATCAAGCCGAACGCCATCACCCGGTAACAGTATGTTCCTTCGGGTGTGAGGAATGACGTTTTCTCCTCATCTTCCTTGGCCATGTAGATTCGGTGGTAGCCCTTGAAGGCATCCATGAAACTTAGGAGTTCGCACCCCGCAGTTTTTGTCCTCCACTATTTGATCAGGGCTAGGCAAGGGGTATGAATCCATCGGACAAGCCTTGTTTAAGTCCGTGTAATCCACACACATCCTCCACGTGTCACCCTTGGGGGCAAGGACCACGTTGGCCAACCAATCCGGATATTTAACCTCCCGAATGTGACCAACTCTGAGGAGATCCTTCACCTCCTTCCGAACGAAATCTCGACGGTCACTGGCCAGATACCTTTTCTTCTGGCGTACCGGTCGACTTCCTTCTCTTACCGCCAACCGGTGGCAAATGACGGAGCGGTCAATCCCAGGCATATCTGCTACGCTCCATGCGAATATGCCTGCATATTCTGGGAGGACCCAGGTTATCTCCATCTTGAGGTCCTCTGGGAGATTTGCTCCAATTCTGACCATCCTTGAAGGATCACCCGGGTGGAGTTCGATCTCCACTGTCTCAGCCTCGGGCTCCAGTTTCTCCCGGGTCTCTCCCTTTGTGATTTCCTTGGAGATGACGTTGACCCCCTTCGTAATCTTTTTCACAGCCCGGGCATAGCACTCACGGGCATTCCTCTGGTCGCCCCGAACTTCTCCCACACCACCCGGTGTGTGGAATTTCATGCATAGGTTGGGCATGGAAATTACCGCCCAGACTTTGTTGATGCCCGGTCTTCCCAAAATTGCGTTATGGACGCATTTGATCTCCACAATGATGAACCGCATCTTTTTCCATACGATCTTGTCTCCCGATCCTAGTTCGACCGGTAAGACTATTGAACCTTCAACTTCCATGGTGTCTCATGTGAAACCTGAAAGAGGAGTTTTCAGGGGTTCAAGTTGTGTCCGACACAACCTGTGTTTTTGAAAAGTCTCCAGGTATAGAATGTTAACACTACTGCCGGTGTGAACTAGTACCCGGGCGACATCCACCCCATTAATGTCCATGGTGATGACCAAAGGATCATTATTGTCATCACCAGTAGCTAGAAGGTCCCAGTCAGTGAAGACGATCGGTTTCCTTCTCGTTTGTTTTTGCCTTACTAGGTCAGCACTTACCTCTCCGACGTAAATGCTACGGACCCAGTTCTTCCGCTGTGCGGCCGAATCTCCACCTTCAGGTCTGCCAAAGATCATTCCAATGTGTTCTTTGTCAGGGGCAGGCTGCTCTCTCTGCCGGTTATTCCTCCGCCTGTCATTGTCCCGCTCGTTCCCCTGGGCTGCTAGCCTAATCCATTTGTGATTCTTCTCCTGGGCTTTTTGCAAATAATCCTTGCCCAGTTCTCCATTGTCAATCATCTGCCGGACGATTCCTTTAACACTTTTGCATTCTGAAGTGTATGGGAATATGACCTATGGTACGAACAATATGTGTCCGACCATTGTCGTCGTGGTTGTCCGGTAGGATTTACCAGAGGATTGACCGGTGCTTTCTTTATTTCCTGGCATTCTTCTGTATTGACCACACGAACGACCGGGTCATAGTGGTGCTTTGGCCGGCTAGGTCCCGGTGCTACTTCCTTCTTGACTTGCACAGGCTTGGGCTTGAAGCCATGCTCAGCTTCTTTCTTTTCCCGGAGCTGGGTTTCAGCCTCCACAAATTCCCACGCCGTATGGTAGGCTTACTGATACGTGGCCAGGGGTTTCCGGCAGAACTCGTTGTATAGTTCCCCGGCACGTAAGCCATTCAAGAGGAGAGACAAGACTGTCTTGTCATGCATCTCTTCAACCTTGTCCACCTCTTCTTTCCACCGGGTAAGGAATTGAGTGAGGTTCTCGGATTCCCTCTGCCCGGCTGTACCAAGATATGTGAACTTCTTCCTCTTAGTACAATTCTCCTGGAACTTGGCCTTGCATTTTGAGGCCAAGTCCCTGAACGAATCAATGCTTATTGGGCGAAGCTTGTTGAACCATTCAGTAGCTCGATTCCGCAAGGTTTGGAAGAAAAGGAGGCACTTTTCTTCGTTTGTGCACCCGTTCATGGTTGCACTCTGATTGAAGGAATCCAGGTAGATTTCTAGATCCTCCTTCCCGGTAAACCTTGGGGCGTCTATCTTGACCTTTTGCAGGAAAGGTGTCAGATGGACCCTTGTAGTGAACGGGGACCCGGCTAGGGGTTTATCCCGGTCACTCTTCTCCCCAACTTTTTTCTCCAACCTCTCCAGTTTCGCCTCCATCCGCTGGACGCGATCACCTGGTATGGTTAGCCAATTAACCACCGGTCCCCGGGGTTGGCTCTCTACTTCCTCTTCTTGGCGTGAAGCCCTTGTTTTCGCAGGCTCTTGCCGGTTCGACCGGGAGCGCTGGGTACGGGCAGGCTCGGCCTCCCTCCCCTCTCCCTGCCGGGCAAAAGCACTAACATGGGCAACACTCTACCCCAATCTTAGCTTAGCCGACTTCCTTTGACCTTCTTCCCTATCCCCAAGCCTTTCGAAGGCGGAGTTTCGGGAAGTTGCTGACCGGATGGTTTTTCCTCTCTTCTTTTTGTGGGTTCTGGGGATGTCCCACTCATCGTCACAGCTCTCAACTGAGACGCAATGACCGTCGGGAGTAATCTGGGGATTTGCACCCTGTAGAGGACGTGACGGCCCAGCGGCGTTAAGCACACTGGTCAAGTTGACGGGGGGCACAGTACTGACCAGCTGCGGTTGGAAAGGTGATGGTTGTGGTACCGGCGTCTGGAATGGCGACACTACCATTGGAGTTTGAAGGGGCATCGTTCCAGCGCTCGGAAGGGCGAATGGAAACATGCCTGGGAGAAATGGCATCCCCCCATTCTACTGACACATTGCCATGACCTGGCCAAAGCCTTGAATGGCTTGTAGGTTGGCCGGGTTATTCATGAACTGGGTCATGCTCAGTGGGAATGTGACCCTCGGTCCAGCAGAGGGGATGGGGATTGTGAACGGGGTGACCACGCTTGGTGTTGGGATTGAACTTAAACCCAATGGCACCACTGGAGCAGAAATAGCCAGTTGGGTAGCAACCATGGGGATGGTAGCCCCCTCAGCGGTGGTCTGCACCTGAGAAAAAGTAGCGTTGATTTGCTGGCTTGAAGACATTTTGAGTGGTGTTTTTGTGGGTAGGTTTGTGTTTAAATGAAAAGAAACCTTACCGGTCCCACGGTCGGTACAAAAAATGATGGTGTAAATTACCTAACCGGGTAAACTATATTAGACCGGGTCTAGGATCGTTTACTTGATTCGATAAGTGAAAAGGTAAAAACACGCAAAGTGACCGGGAGGACTGTAGGTGGAAACACCTGTAGCCCAATTGATATTATTAATATAAGAGAATACACGAGAGCTTTTACAAGAGAGTTTAGAGAGAATGAATTCTGATCCCTTCTTTTGAAGGTTACAACAGTATTTATACTAAGCTCAAAGGGGACAAACCGCCGCTTTGCCACATTGAGGCACGTCCCTGGGTGGTGGGAGGGGATGGCTTTCGTCCTTTAGCTGCTTTGTCGCCTTGTGAGGAAGATTGCTCCCTTTTCGTGTAGCATTTTGGATGAAGTGTTCGAGCATCTCCAGCGATTTCCCATTGAACTTGGTCGCTACGGTCCAAGCCTCTTTGGACTCTTCTCTGCCGACACTCTCCGACCCCAAGAATCACACCGGGTAATTTCTGAAGGTTAGGTTAACTGAAATTTGGGAATGAATTAGGCGATAAAGTGGTTTGACCGGTATACTATCTGAAGTATACCAGTCAACTTTCTGGTCAACCTAGCTTCCCTCTTACTGACGATTGAAGTCTCTCTTTCAAGTAACAACCAACTTGACCGGTCAAACACTTGGTCATTACTTTTGACCGGTTTTGGGTGGAATACACCCATCAAGTAGCGTAGAGCTAAAATTCCTTCAAAGTCAAATTGATTCAACAAAAACAACCAAATCAAAGATTTAATCTTTTTTTATCAAATAAGTCGGCCTAAGAGGGTTTTATAATTCCAGAGACAATAAAAAATCAATAAATCATATTTGAAGAATTCAACATCAACACACAAACAATTCAACACTTATAATATGACTTAAACATTTAACACAAAATTGAAATTAAAAACTAAAAATATTTAATAATGGATAATTGGATATTCAAATTGATTAACTTTGAAATTAAACAAAGTGAAACCCTAATTAAAAGAAACAAAAGAAATGAAGTAAAATAAACAAAGTACTCCCCTTGATTTGTTCTTCCTTGTTCGTAGATGGCGGCCAAGCTTTTCCAGGAGTCCAGCTTCTAAATTCTGCACCGTGTTGAGCCATGCCACTGTTGTATCGTCCATCATCCACAGCCGGAGTTGTCATCGTCGGACCTAGGGTCGGAACCCTAGGCCGGCTCTGTTGCCGCCTGCTCCGATCTCCTCCGTGTCCCTCTCTCTCTGTTCTCCGTTATGCCCCCTTTCTTGTGGCTTTTTGTCTTCTTTTTATAATAAACGTTTTGCAGAGATTGTCTTCCGCTAGTCTTCTATTGTTGGAGAAGGAGTGGAGTTTGAGTTCCTCTTATGCACTAACTTACGTTTCTTTCTTTCCCTTTTTTGTTTTTTTATCATTAGTTTCTTTAGTAGTTGGGTCAAAAGAGTGATGGGCCCTCTTCCATTGGTTTTGAGCTCCAAAAGTCCATTTTCATTATTTCCTTCAACTTTTTATACTCCAAAATACATCTGAAAATTTGTGCCAAAGAAATAATATTCCAAAATAATTGTCAAATATAAATATGCTCAAAATCATGCATTTTATGTATAAAATGTAAACTCTAGCCTAAAATGCTAAATGTGAGAAAATATAATGATTTTGGCATAAAATACGTATAAAATATTATAAAAGTACTAAGAAATGCAGGAATAAAACATGACATTCTGTGCCTCAACAAGTTGCCACAGGCTTTCTTCTTTTCGAGTGTGGGGCACTACAAGTTCCAATCAAAGGTTTCTTTCCCTTATTAATTGGTTGGATACTAGCATTGGATTGACCTTCAATATTTTGGTGAACGTTTTGGTTGTCTAGTTCTTTTCGGATAACAAGATTGAAATTCGATATTTCAATATGAACTGTTGTGTGTCCATTGTTTGGCACTTGGTTATCTTGTCCGTGAACAGTTTCTTGACTCATTCTACAATTAGTAGAAATTCTTTCATTAGGATTCTTTATTTGAATAGGTAAGTTAATTAAAAGACGTCACGAGGGTATACAACTGTAGCGACGATTGTAAACAATCAAGAGAGATTGGGAGAAACGATAGAGTTTATTAATTCTAAACGCTTGCATTTTGAGTCAGTGATCGGGTCGTGTTGAATCCACACGAGGATCTTCGATATCATCTTCACAGATGTTGTTCAACATAAATCGTTTCTTCAAAGTCATCTCACTTCCATGTGACTTTGCGATGCAGATCAGTTTCCTCATTCGCAATGCAATGTGTACGTTAATAACGTATCAGAGGATCATATATTTTTCATTCATTCTTTCGTCTCTTCACCGAGTACAAAAGTTCTACTAGAGTCTATGCTCGATACGATTTCAATTTTTATCTAATGAGAATTTAATATAGTCAATATTTATTAAATAAATTCTCATTACTTTTCCTGGAGCAGAGGGATGCGAGGGTCGTGGATGTGATTGACACATTTTTTTATATAGCCAAAATAAATATATAATTTATATATATATATATATATATATATATATATATATATATATATATATATATATATATATATATATATATATATATTGATGTACCCCGGGATGCTCCTACAAGAACGGAGGTTACACCACAAACCATAAAACAAATCAAAGGGTTAATATCTAAGTGTTATGATCCTTTTTGGGCTGAACTCATTAACCTTTCGTACACTAAAACCCAAACCATAACCCTGCTCCTCCAAAGCTCTTCTTGATATCAAGCCTTTCCATTTCCTTTCCAAATATCCAAAGTCTTTTATTCCCATTTAATAAACAAAATAAAGTCCTTTCTCTTCCTTTTAACCCTGAACGAGAATGAGGTCAGAAGGACAAGCCTTGTGTATTATTTCTACTTCTGTTGTTCCTTTTAATTAAAATAAAACCTCCCTTTCACTTCCCCACTTCAAACCCACGAATTTCCCAACTCTTTTACCCAAAAATCAGGCCACAGTATGTTCCACAAAACAAAAACAAAATCAGAAAAAAGTTTTCCTTGATTGAATAGTGCTGATTTTGTCCTGTTGTTCAAAACCCAATCCCATTCATATCCTTCAGCATATGGCCGAATTTCTCACTCCAAATATCCATAAACACAACTCCATTTACCAAGGATAAAGATAAAAACATCAAGGAACCAAAATCAGTGATTGAATAGTGCAAACTTTATCACATTATCCTTAATTGTCAAAGTTACAATTTTCCTTGATTTCCTTCTCACATGGCAGGAATTAATGAACCATACTAAGCCAAAATCCCAGCCTTTTAATCTCATTTTCCTGGTCAATGAGTGCTGCCCACTAAGAATAATAACACATGGATATTAATCACATGATTTGTAAGAAAGTGAAGTGTAATTTCCCTTATTTTTGCATTATATATTTCGGCCATGAGGCCTTGTAAAAATCATCTCATTTTCATTATCAATATTACTCTTGAAGTAATCCTTGAATTGGTGTGAAGCTAGTTCAATCCATTTCCTAATGAAATATCTCTAAAGTTGGCTACTTTTGAGTGTGTGTTAGGAGTCTATTTAATACTTTAATAGTGATTATTATAGTATAAAATAGATAATAGCCCCAAATATATAAAGAGTGTGTTTATCTCTTACATATTATTTGGTTTATCCTTTATACAAAAACCACAAAACATTTCCCTTCTTTTCTTCTATTTCTGATCCTGAACCCATAAATAATCGATTATCATT